ATAAAGGGGAACGTGACAACCTGATTAAAAGAGAAGGATCTGCTCCCCAAGAATTTTGCAGCTGAACAAAATCAGGACTTTCCAGCAAGAAAGAAGGGAGAAGGGCTGTTGAGTAGGAGCTCCAGGATCTGTGACATAAGCTAAGCTAAAGAACTTACTTGTATTCTGTGAACAGTGGCTTGGAATAGAAAGGATCATCTTTGTGTTTCAGAAAAAAATATCTTCATAAAACACCTGTGATGAGGTAACAGATCATTCTTACGCTTGCCTAAAACCACGTAAGTTGATCACAGAGTTGAAGGAAATTTCAGATCTCCAACATCTTCCCATGTTACCTACGTTCCATTTCCTAAGCATATATTTATATGCTGTTGATGTTATGTATTTGTCTTTTAAATTAGGCATTTTAAAAAATTGCCATCAAGTTGCTTACTGTTTTCACTGGGTTGGGTGATTGAGTGTATAGCATACACGCACACACACACACACACATACACACACACACACACACACACATACACACACATATAACTATTGTACTCGTAGGCTGTGGTAAATGCTGAAAGACCAAACAAGCATGATGTGGGTGGTGCCTGGGGCACCTGGGGAGAGCTGTAAGAGGGTCTGTAATGGACAGTGAAGAATGGCAGAGGTGGGGCAGATCCTTCTGGATGAAGGAAAAAAGCAGTACAAAACAAAAGGCAGAAAAGCCACAGGTTGCCAAGATGCCCTGTATAGATAGAGCATAGACCGGGGGAAAGACATTGGAAGTAAAGCCGTGAATGGATGATGGAGAGGCAGGCACAAGAGAATGGAGATCACATGTGCTGGTGCCTGACTTGAGTAGGTACTATGCCCGAGTCCTGACGAGGCAGAGAGGAGTGTATCCCTATTCTTATGAGGAACTGAGGATAAACATAACTTGCCTGAGGACCCACTACTAACGGTTGAGTCTAATTTGAAACCACGTCTGTCTTTCTTAACTTGGAAATTTGTCTATCATTCCAAATAGTCTTCCATTATATCATTCCATTGTGCTTAAAATATTAGCATTTGACTTTTATTCTCCAGGGTTACTCAAGTGTTCTGAGCAGGAATGGACATTCCATCCAGAAGTGCTCAGCAGGGAGATGAGATGGCAGCTTTGTGGAGGCTGGATGGCCACCATTCCAGTTTCCTATAACATCTCACACCCAGGCATCGGAGTCACAAAATGATTCTGTCGTCAGGCTTGTAGTTGTCATATTTACCATAGAAACAAAACTCAAATTCTGTACCCAGTTTTGTGCCTTCCTGGCTGCTCTCTCCTTTCCAGTAGTAGTACTTGAGTTCCACTTGGGCTTACTCCTCCTTATTGCATAGCATCTCGCTCCCATAGCTAGCACTTACTCAAATAAGACTAACTGCACCAACCGCTAATTCACCGAGTGGTTTCTCAATCCTTCACATCTCTGGGACGTAGATATTTCTTCTATTATAAGATATTTCTCTTGTTATAATTGACATGATGAACTCTGATAGAAAAGGCATTCTGTCTACCAACACTGAACTTTCTATTTACAGTAATCACCTCTAGAAATAGTATGTAAACAAGGAAAATATAGAATGCCTATTCTCCATACCTTAAAAACACATCTGGAACTGTTTGAACTAACAAAAAGTAAAGTAACTGCTAGGGGAGATTATGCCATACCTTTTCTTTTTACTTAAAAAAAAAAAAAAAAAAAAAGGAAATGGAAAACATACCTCTTCTAGAAGGCCCTGACACTGAATTGGATATTGAAATGGTATCAGTAATGTATTTATATATGCCACATTTTCTTCCATGTTTCAACCGTCTTTGGTACATATGTGTTGGATATTTGTCAGGAGAGTTGAAATGTTACCACATAGGGGAGATATTTATTTAGGAGTGGTGTGTATCATTAAGGTAGAAGTTAAGTCAGTCCTTTTGATTATACAGACCTTCCTGCTCTGATAGAGATTGTTTTCCCTTTCCCCCCCTTTTTTATCACTTTGTGTCAGTCTTTCAATTGATGTCAGCATTCCCCTGCAGCAACTAAAAATAGAAATTACATCTAGGAATGGTATAATTTTCATAAACTTAAAAACATTGCATAAGAAATATTATAACTTAATACTGGTTTTACTGTATCCTCTAATTTGAAACGGAGAAGAAATACTTCTGTGGTTGAATCATAGTTCTTTTGCTGTTTGCTATAAAAGTTTCAAGAATATATATTTCAAAATGTTTTTTTTTTTAAGTAATCCAAAACAAATGCATCAGGGCTCCACATACTTGAAACACATTTTCTGAATTTATCTTAAATCTCCCTGCTCCAGAGGGTTTGTGTGTGTGTCCGGGTGAGGCCTGGCTGGTTACTTCACCATCTTTCCTCGTCCTGGATTGATTGCCCCGAACAGCACGAAATGAGTTACATATGGTCCCACTTTGTCTAAGTTTGTAGGACCTCTGGGCTGGAACTCCATTTGATCAGAGTGAAGCTAACCGTCGCAGAAATGTGGCTAAAGTCAAAACCCTAACTATACACACGTATTCGTATATTCCAGTCAGAATGCATATATTCCTGTTGAGAAGCGGTGGCAATTTTGCTATGTATTGGCTCCGTAATGAACTTTTCTTAAAGTATGGGTGCCATTTTGAGGATTTAAGAAAAATCAGTCATCTACTTTTTATCGTTGTTGTTGTTACTATTATTAAGATTGTCTTCAGTTTGAAGGGGATACCCATTGTCGATTTTATCGTCTATTCCCTTTTCTCTTAGTGTCAGAAAAATGGGTAGACAAGACAAGGGCTTCAGATCTGTTTTCCAGTTTTGGTTTTGCTCAAGAAGCACCTCAAGGTGAATAAGGTGCAGGGGCTATGCCTACTAAGGCTCAGCTTTTTGGGGTAGACGGAGCCATCTGGGGTAACTTTCTCCTCATTTAGGCTCTTTTCTCCCTGGCTTCTTTTTTCCTTCCGTTGCTTTATTTATTTATTTTCTCATGATTCCCACTCCCCCACCCCCACCCGCTCTTCCTCCCTCTGTCTGTACAACCACGTGCTTCAAGTCTGTGTATCTGGACTGCCTTCTCTAACAGTTCAGTGTGAGTGTTAGCAGAATGAAAACCAGATGGGCCAGCAGTTCCCACTGTTATCTCCCAGCCGACTCTGGCAAGCCTCCCTTCAGCCCTCCTTCCTTGGCATGACAGAAATATTTGCCTTTATTTAGGGAGAGTTGTATGTGCTGCTGTACCTCTTCCCTCCACTGCAACATAAGCTAAAAGCTATTTATTCCCTTGTTGCTGAGGTTGGTTGAGGTGAGTAGACCGTGCAGCGCATTTAACTATTGAAGAAGCGGTTTTAAACCTGCCTGACTTTGGTATTTTTCTAGAATAAGTGATTTACTGATCCTGGGTGCTACAGGGCTCTGGAATAGCAATAGGAAGGCGAGCTTTTAAGAGTGAGATCAAGGTAGAAATGCTCTCCATGTGTGTTTTTACCATATTTCGCTCAGAACACGTATTGATGGAAGGGGCATTTGTTGCTCTTCAGCCAGCCGTCGAGATTAAGAAAGAGACCCTGATACCAGGCTATCAAACTGCTCTTATTAGAATGATGACTATTTTCATTCTTTTATCACATTTTCCCTATAAAGTTGAAATCAACATTATTTCAACTTTAAAATGTTATGTTCTGTTACAACCCAAGTCTTAGGAAACGGCTCAGAATAAAGGTATGAGGTAGGTTTGCAGTGGCCAACATAGTGATTTGGATTTTTCATCTTAAAAAAAAATAGACTTTTAAAGTAATTTTTGAGAATTTCTCCCTGTGGTTATCATGTTTTAAAAGACCTACTCTTGACCAGCAGTCCACGTGACTTCACTTTTCAAAAAGTCCGAGTGGGAAATATTTGTCCCTAAGGCTGCCTCAGACATTTTTGGTGTGTTTGTGTGTGTGTGTGTGTGTGTGTGTGTGTGTGTGTTTGTTTGTGTGCACATGTGTGTGCACAGGCACACACATAGTGTTGGTAGAAAATTGTATCTAAAGAAACAAAACTCACTTTTTTACTGGAGATCTGTTGCTTCCATAAATAGATTTGACAGAGAAAAAACAGTTCAGAATTTCAAAGGAAAAGTATGCATAGTAGAAAACAGTCTTGAAGCTCAAATGTTCATTATTGGGTCATCAGGAGATGTCTCCATATCTGTCACATATTCATGAAAAACTACAGGGAGTGTCTTTCGTTCCTTTTCATTCTCTATTTCGGATTTTCCCCTTCTTACTCTGTGTGGGATTATTAACTGAAGTATTGGTCTCATATTTTTAAGATGGTGGGTCACAAATCACAAATTCTGAGTAAATAATCATTTAAATTCATTGTACGAAACAGCATTTATGTGGTGGGGGTTTTACCAACAGGGCAGAGGAACATTGAAGTGAGAGGTGTATCTGGGAGACATAACCTGCTTTCCCTAGTGGGCCAGAAACTAAGCGTGGAAAAGGAATGGCAGGTGGCACCAAAAAAAAAAAAAAGAAAGAAAATCATTGTAAAAATGCTGGGTCCCATCAGTATCTCACCTGCATAACAGAGCTTCAGATTTGTGTTGATCCTTACCAATGGGTTTATTACCATTTTACTCCCCATCTATTTTTTACCTCCTGCAAGTGTTGGCTTCAGCTTTGAGTGAAGCTGTGCTGTTGCATATAACACTACCAAGGTAGCATCTGCCCAAGCCAGAAATAACAATAGGATGTAAAATAACCCAGTTACAAATGAGGTCCTGCCATCTGTGCTGCACCTTCTTAAGTGGGGTTTGGATGATAAAGTCCTGATTTAAACCTCAGTAGATAAGCCTATTTTAGTGATAGGAGACGACGGATTTCTTCTGTTCACTTGCTTGTAAAAAAGATGAACCTCACTTAAAAAAAAAAAAAGAAAAGAAAAAACGAAGGTGCTTAAGGAGTAAAATAACCTGTTCGTGGTGGCGTCCTCCAGATCGGACTGAGAAGCACTCCACGATGCCAGACTCACCTGTGGATGTGAAGACCCCGTCTAGGCTGACTCCTCCTACCATGCCACCTCCCCCGACAACTCAAGGAGCTCCGAGAACCAGTTCGTTTACACCAACGACGTGTGAGTAGGCATTTCTGCATTTCCTGTTTCCGTTTTGAAGTCTAATTTTTTTTTTCCTGCAAGAGTGAAGACCCTCCTCCTTTCCCAAAATCATTTAATTGCCAGTGAGTAGGTATTGAGCCTGCGCAGACACACAGCATCTTAGGTATAATTTGTATGGCTGCCAATATTTGCCTCCCTTTCCATTTTTGCTTCACAGTTGTAGTCCGCTTTGATTTCCACAATGAAGAATATTGCATTCATTTGGGCTGCGACTCCATTTGTTACCACCATAATTTTTAGTTTGACTTAATGTGTAGCTCCTTATTTTAGCTTGTACATTTTGACTTGGAACATGTTAATATCCTGCAATTATTTCCAAGTTGCTTCTGATCTTCTAATACCACTTTCTTCTGGTATTTACAAATAAGATTCAAACTAGCAGCCTTAAGTTAAAAAAGGGGTATTGCTCTAGGCAAGAGTCACATACAGAAAACTTTCTGAAATAAGGAGTATCTTTCTTGTCTTGAACCTGTCAGACTTTATTAAACCTTTACTCAATTCCAGCTCAGCTTGAGCCTTGTGTCCTGAATCAGTGGAGTGTATTGGCCTTCCTGTGTTGTCTGAGGAAAGGACAGAACACTCTGACAGAACAGCCACTTCCCTTCCTATTCTGTGTATTCCAGCAGGGATAGTGATTAGCTTTGTTTTCATCCATTTCAAAGTCCTGGGTGAAATTGTCATAAAGGATTTGTGAAACCAATAAATGCTATCTGTTGCCGATAGTACTATTTACAGATCACGTGTCATGAAGCCTATATGAATGAAGAATAACGGGCAAGAATAGATCCATGGGATTATAAGGGCTTGGCAAAATACACATCCCAGGCTGTTTATGCAGCGTTGCGCTGCCATTTAAAGACCTTTCCGAACGTGTGAGGAGCAGGAGGCTGCAGCAGTGCCAAGTTGTAACCCTGTCATGTTGTATCTGGTGTGTCGTTACCCAGAGCCACGGTGATAGGCATATGTCGTCTGTGAGAGGTCCTAGTGAGCAATCATCTCCTGACAGGTTGCTTTGGCGCTCATTTGGGACAAGGGGCCATTTTATTATCTTGAAACTTTTAAGAATAACAGAGTGCTTAAGACCTCTTCAAACTTCTGTTGGAGATAATCTGGCAAAATTACATTAAAAAGCTGAGTTGGATAAAGAGGAGTTTGTTGAATTTATTGATTTTAATATGCTAAACTCAGTATTTTCTTTAGTGAGAAATGCACAAACTTTTCTAGTCTTGTTCTTACACATTATCTTGGTGTTCAAATACATTTTATCGGAAACGAAGTTATCAAATTACCACCAATCCACGCTATTAGTTGGAGTGAGATGTCCCTTTTCGATTTCTTGAAATAACTCTCTGATAATTACCATATCCATTTGGTTTCTTATATAAAATTTGCATTTTCCCTAAAGAACCGGTTAAGAAATATGAGGGAGAGAAAATAGCCTTCTAATTGGGTGGTATAAGGTTAAAACTTGAAAGTCCTATTTCTATAAACACAGCTGTCAGTTGTGTGTACAAAACATGATTAAAAATGTTCAGTGATAAATTTAGTCTCCACCAAATGTACACTTTCTCTAGGGGAACAGTTTAGAAAGGAATGGTCCCGCTATATTGATGTAAGCCTGTGACAAAAGGCTGACATCCAAACGCTGTTTGTTCTGTGTTTGAAACATTTCAGGTGGTTGGCATATGTGCACAAGGGAGGCAGGGCTGGCCTGTGCTGCAGCCGACTCCCCGTGATTAGCAGCTTCCGTGTGGAGTACCCGTATGCAGTACGGGGAGCAGAGCCACCCAGTCCTGGGGTATCGGAACCGGTGGGACTCCTGGGGGGTCCAAGCATTTGACACAGTGTCCCAAACTACAAAAAACACCAGGTTTTACGGGAATGAAACTTGATGGTAATTTCCTTGTGCCTCTTCCCTGGACGTGTATTTATTTATTTTTCTTTCTGGTTTTCTGCTCTTGACAGTAACTAATGGCACGAGCCATTCACCCACAGCCTTGAATGGCGCCCCCTCGCCGCCCAATGGCTTTAGCAATGGGCCTTCCTCCTCTTCCTCTTCTTCTCTGGCTAATCAACAGCTGCCCCCAGCCTGTGGCGCCAGGCAACTCAGCAAGCTGAAACGGTTTCTTACTACCCTGCAGCAGTTTGGCAATGACATTTCTCCAGAGATAGGAGAGAGAGTCCGCACGCTCGTACTAGGACTGGTGGTAAGCAAACGGAAATTAGCCCAGTTTTCCGGGGGGAAAGGGAGAGTATGTGTATGTGTGTGTGTGTGGGGGGGGGGGAACAGTCAAAATACAGACTGTTCTCCCAACTGTTTTGTTCTCGTACATTCATTCCATACCTGGTGATGGCACGCATGTCTGATAACTCTGTAGTAACAGAGTTCCAAGTCTGCATTAGGTGCTGACCCCCACCATGGGTTCTTTTACTAGCTGACTATAAAGATATGCTGACAAAATGTATTATTATCTTAGCCATAAATATATGTGTGTGTATAAGACTCAGTAAGTATATCTTGGCATGACGAGTGGCCTTCAACAATGACAAAACGTTTTCATTATATTAATGATCCACTTAATCTCGTTTTGGGTGCTCGTTTTGACATAGTTGCTTTGAGGGATTTTTATTATTGGTCTAGAGGAACAAGAGTTTATAGCCAATAACGTTCTTCTCTGTTTTCGTTTTTGAGGCTAAGAACTTTTTTTAAAAAAAATTTTATTGTGGTAAAATATACATAATGAAAAATTGAGCATTTTAACTATTTCTAGGTGTGTGGTTCAGTGACATTGTGTACCTTTGCATTGGTGTGTCTTCATCACCACCGCCCATCTTCAGAACCTTTTCATCACCCCACACTGAAACTCTGTTCCCATTAAACCTTAACACCCCAATTCCGCCCCCCCAACCTCTTACTGGTAACCACTAATTGTTGGTTTTTTTTTTTTTAACAATTCTTTGTTAAAGGTAGAATTAAGTTAAACCATTAATTTGAAAACAGAAGTATTGATTTAGGCACATTGGTCTACATTCTGTACATTATCACACTGGAAATGAGAACATGTATCATTTTGGAGGACATCTTAAATCAGTTTTATACACGTACTGTGATTTTTTTGTGTATAGATGGAGGATTTTCATTTAGGAAGGGTAATTTTCCCATAGCAAACCGAGGCAGGGAGAAGCCCTGAGTCACAGGCTCAGTCCTTATGGTAGACCTGAAATTCAGGTGAAAGTCTCCAGTTCCCTTTCTCTTGAAATAGATCATTTGTTTATGTTACGTGGGCTTATCATGGGCAAAGCCATACCCATTGTGATTTGCAAAAGAAGCCCCAGAATTAAAGGCCATGTGCGAGTCTAGTACAGTAGACATGCTTCAAATCACAGTCACTCACATTTGACAGATATTTTGTGCAATTCGCTTTTTTAACCCTTACCTCCCTCTCCTGAGTGCTTGAAGAACAAAAAGCGTTCACATTTTCCACAATCTGCCAGTTCCACCTGGCACTTCTCCGGGCCAGGAAGGGGACTGCCACAGGAATGTCAGCATGCTACAGTTACTTTTGTCAACCTCTTATCTTTCCCTTTTTATTCATTCTTGCGTTTTGCAGAATAAGCTTTGCAACTAGCAAATAAATTAGACCCAAGACCCACAAAGTAATTCTAAAGCAGTGATTGTGTGCCATAAATAGTGAATATGTTCTTTGTGACAAAAATGTTTTTTTTTTTTTAAAAAACTGCTTTATATATTTGCTATATTCTCTAATGGTGGTTTCCATAACTTCCAATAGAGAAGAATTCGATAACTTTAAGTTGATTTTCTCAAATGTTCAATGGCATACCTTTGAGTGCAATACTTATTTTTAGATACATATTTATTTAAAAACCTTCAGAAGAGAAGTTAGGGGGAAGACATTAATTAATAGTGCTTTGCAACGAATAGGAAGGCAGTGAATATTTGTCAATTGAGTGAATGAATAGAGAATGAATTTTTTAAAATTTTGTTATTTGAATATAGTTGACATGGTCTTATATTATTTCAGGTGTATAACATAGTGATTCAACTTCTCTGTATGTTATGCTGTGCTCACCAGAAGTGTACCTACCATCTGTCACCAGACGATACTATTACAATGTTATTATTAACTATATTCCCTATCCTGTGCCTTTTATTCATGTGACTTCTTCATTCCATAACTGGAAGCTTGTATCTTACTCCTCTTTACCCAGTTTGCCCATCTCCCCACCTACCCTCTTCCTTTCTGGTGATGAGGAGTTTATTTAATAGAGAACTGATTCTTTTTTTCATGGAGTTTGACTATAAGCTTTTGTGTATGCCATTTTATTTAAATTCTTGAGTCTACCCTTAGGGGTCATGATTTTATATACATATTACATGTGGGGAAACTGAGGTTTACAGAAGTAAAATACACAGGGCTACCCAACTGTAGTGACAGGTCTGTGATTTGAACTCAGGTAGTCAATCATAATGAATCCTCTTATTCTGTTATTTAGATGGAGTTAGAAAATCTGTCAGTAGGAACAGGTTCAATGCACCAAATAACTGGCATGGCTTTAGAAAACAAGCCATTGAAACAAAATGAAAGATTAAAAAAAGAGACTCCCTGATCTCTGTTACAGATAGGAAGTTCATGTTTATTCATAGTTTCATGGGAAGATGTTTTGAGTTTAGAAGTGTAAAAAACTTAAAGTTTGATGGCCCCACACTTAATTAATCATAAGAAGAAAAAGAGTTGCACCACAAAAAAGCGGGTGGGGGCATATTTTGAAGGAGTTCGGTCACCAGTACCTCAGTTTAG